TATTCTCCTGATACAATATCCGAATTTTCAACCAGAAATTCCTCACCAATCACGAGATATTCCAGCTTCAACATTTTTGTCATGCTACCTCCTCGCCTATCATATTGTCCTGATACAGTATCCGAATTTTCTGTCAGAAATTCCTTCCCGTTCACAAGATATTCCAGTATAAAGATTTTTCCTAAAACTTCTGTATCAGGAGAATATGATACGCGAGGAGGTGGCACGACAAATCCCGCTGTTGAGCGATTCTTCTCATACATAGATTTTAGAAAAAATTTTTGAGCTGGAATGTTTTGTATACGCGAAGCAATTTCTGGCTGAAAATTCGGATCTGTTATTAGGAGAACATGATACGCGAGGAGGTAGCATGACAAAAATTTTTAAACTAGAATATTTCGTGTATGTGGAGGAATTTCTGGCTAAAAGTTTGGATTTGGTATCAGGAGAACATGATACGCGAGGAGGTGGCACGTCGAAAATGTTTAAGGTGGAATTTGTCGTGAATAGGAAGTTATTTCTGATTGAAAAATCGTATTTTGTATCAGGAGAATATGATAGGCGAGGAGGTGGCACGTCGAAAATGTTTAAGGAGGAATAGTCTGTGAACGGCAGTGATTTCTGGCTGAAAATTCGGAATTGGTATCAGGAGAATATGATAGCGGAGAAGGTGGCACGACAGAAATGTTTAAGGTGGAATATCTCGTGAACGGGAGGGATTTCTGGCTGAAAATTCGGAATTGGTATCAGGAGAATATGATAGGCGAGGAGGTGGCACGACAAATATGTTTAAGCTAGAGTTTTTCGTGTATGTGGAGGAATTTCTGGCTGAAAATTCGGATTTTGTATCAGGAGAATAGGATGGGCGAGGAGATTGGACGACAAAAATGTTTAAGCCAGAATATCTCGTGAAAGGGATGGAACTTCTGGCTCAAAAATTCGGAATTGGTATCAGGAGAATAGGATGGGCGAGGAGGTAGCACGACAAAAATGTTTAAGCTGGAATATCTCGTGATTGGAGAGGAATTTCTGGTTGAAAATTCGGATATTGTATCAGGAGAATATGACAGGCGAGGAGGTGGCAGAAATGTTTAAGCTGGAATATCTCGTGAAAGGGAAGGAATTTCTAGCTGAAAATTCGGATATTGTATCAGGAGAATATGACAGACGAGGAGGTGGCACGACAAAAATTTTGAAGCTGGAATATCTCGTGAACGGAAGGGATTTCTGGCTGAAAATTCGGAATTGGTATCAGGAGAATATGATAGCCGAGAAGGTGGCACGACAGAAATGTTTAAGCTGGAATATTTCGTGAAAGGGAAGGAATTTCTAGCTGAAAATTCGGATCTTGTATCAGCAGAATAGGATGGGCGAGGAGGTAGCACGACAAAAATGTTGAAGCTGGAATATGTCGTGAAAAGGAAGGAATTTCTGGTTGAAAATTCGGATTTTGTATCAGGAGAATAGGGTGGGCGAGGAGGTGGCACGACAAAAATGTTTAAGCTGGAATATCTCGTGAACGGGAGGGATTTCTGGCTGAAAATTCGGATTTTGTATCAGGAGAGTAGGATGGGCGAGGAGGTAGCACGACAAAAATGTTTAAGCTGGAATATC